GTCCTTTTATTTCGAGGAAAAATGAAAGTCACACGCAATAATAAGACGGATTTATTTCATAAGAATCATAACGGGTTGTGAAACATGGGTGTTTTCGTGGGGCCCACAACGGCAAAGACAAGCAGCAGATTGGAGAACCCAGGATAACAAAATCCCACAAAGCTCAACGCAAGCACGGTGCCTTTGAAAGTAATGGGCATCAAGTTTTTCAACCACAAAAGTGCGGATTTGATCTGGCTGGTTCCCGTCAGCATATCAGCCATTGCTGACATTAACAAGATGGTTCTTCAAACAAAGCCGAGATCAGCAATCACAAGAAGGCAGCCGCGTCTGCTTGAGCAAGGAGTTGTCTTCCCTCATGACAACACGCCTTTACGCACTGCTCCCCAGGACTATTGGCAATCCTTGAACATTTTCCCTATTCCTCAGACTCCGCACCATGCGACTTTCATTACTTCCCCAAAATCACAAAAGGGGGAGGGAGGGAAGGGTTTCGAAGACAAACTTAATGAACATTTGTTGGAGGAACGACCTAACCCTTTCTAAAAACAAAAAAAAACCTCTTAAGAATTACGAGGCCTTTCTCATAGGTAAGTTTCCCTACTCTGTAAAATCAAAAATTGTTATTTTACTGACACGAAATGGAGCATTACAATGGAGTATGATCATTTGTGCCCAGAAACAAATGCTGCACTAAGAACTTTGGATGAAGCAGACATGGTCACCGAGTTTGACCGTTGGCTACATTGGATGAAAAAGTGCATCGAGATCTAAGTAAGTTTGTCATGTTGAATTTAAAACATATTTCTGTACGTATGTACAAAATCCCATGTCTGTAAAAGTATTTTTTTAATTGGTGATTTAACAGAACTGGAATAGTTGATTATGGGACAGATCTCGTAACCTCCATAAATAGTTTTACCCAGGTATATATTATTCTTAGGTGTATCATCGCTGTTTTCCGTTCATCCAGTTTTCCTTCTTTTTTCCTACTGTTAGACCTTGCGTCCCAGTTGTATCTACAAAGACTTTAATCCCATTAAGCCCAGACACGCAGCCGCACGATAACAAGCACTGACCAGTACAGATCGTGGTCAAGCCGTGAGTTCAGTTTCCATCTGATGACCCCATTGACCAGAGAGGAGTGAAAAGCTTCCTTCATCCACAGAGTCACGCGTCTGGACATCAACATGTCTAGTGGGAGCCCACTGTCCGACACACGGTGCAGTATCCATGTCCCCTGTCTGGTGCTCAGGTACACCTGTCGAGAGGGGAGAGAGGTCAGGTGAGAGGGGGTGGGGTGCTGTGAGGTAAGTTGAGGTATTGTGAGGTGAGAGGGGTGAGATGGTGTGAGGTGAGAGGGGGTGGGGTGGTGTGAGGTGAGAAGGGGGTGAGATGGTGTGAGGTAAGTTGAGGTGTTGTGAGGCGAGAGTGGGTGAGATGGCGTGTGAGGTAGGTTGAGGTGTTGTGAGGTGAGAGGGGGTGGGATCTTATGATATAAAAGCGGGAGAGATGAGGTAAAGTGGGTTGAAGTGAGGTGAGGTAAAGTATGATGTGAAGTGAGAGACGGAGGATAGAAAACGGTGTGATGAAACAGTAGGGGAAAAAGGGACGGGGGTAGTTAGCAGTTGGGTTAGACAGGAGGAAATGCACTAACGGGGAACCAGATGGATAGATTGTGTGATAATCGAAGACGAGGGATTGGATATGATAAAATGGTATGGTGAGAAATTTGAATAGCGAAGACATTCTCTGTGCCGTCTCTACGAAGTCCGAAATTCTCCTCCACACGTTGTTGCCTGCTCCGTTTCAACAGCTTTGACAACTTTTGCATTAATTTCTGTTTTCTTTGGTGAAAGTCGGATGTTTTTGTGCGTTGATGTATTTTCGGAACAAGTGAAATGTTTGATCCCGGATTCAAGTGCCTGTAAATGAATGTTCTAGGTGACGCAATGAGACCTTTTTATACAAAGTCCTGTTGCTGATGTAAGTTATGCGACGAGAGTAAGTGTTTCGTCATTACGAACTCTTAGAACACACACAAACACACACACACACACAC